CGATAGTTTTTGAAAACTATCGATGTCGGTTTTAGCGAAATTTCCCTCTTCATTACACCTCTTAACATTACGTGCATTTTTTTTTCTCCAAGAAAATTAACAATACAGTCGGCAAAAAAAATTTGTTTGGTATTGGACTTTTTAGGAACTATAAACTTATACTGAGTTATAGTAAAATTCAATAAGCTATAAAACCGCTTACACAAAATTTTTATAGAAATTCGAATTAAAAAGCTTTAAATTTTAATGATTTTGTATTTTCTTGTTTTGTACAACTTTTATAAAAAATTAGTAGACACGAAACAAACAAAAAAATAGTCAAAACTGCTAAAAATGTTGTGGTGCTATTATTTTGACCAGTACTTTATTCGTTTTCTTATAATATGATAAAATGTTAATAATTTCCCTTGTCCGGATTTTGATATGCGCCTCCGCATTTGATCTCAGTTGAACTTTCATAAGTATGAGTTGTCAATTTAAACGAATATCTTTTGTTTTGTAGTATTAGAAATGTATTATTATAGCCAATTTCTCTTTGCACTTCAAAAGTGACAAACAAAATCCGAATTTAATTATTCCATTTAAAAAATAAATTCAGATTTTGCCTGTCGCTATTCAAGTGGATGCAAGAGTATGTATATAAGTATACATAATTCAGACGCATAAATTAGTAAGTTTATTTTATTATTATAAGAAGTTCTTTTTGATGCACACAAATTTAAACAAATGGATATAATCTCTTTAATTTACAAAGTAATTTATAAATTTTATTAATTTATTAATTATTTAATTTTCATGCAATTTAGCATTGAAATTCAATACCTCTCACGACGATAGTACTATCGATACTATCGATGTTTTCAACTATCGAGTGGCGGTACTATCGATAGTATCCCAGCCTAGTGTCTAGCAATACAAGATTTATTTCACGAAGTTCTTTAAATAAATTTTGAGCTCAGAACTCACCCGTATTTCGGGGGTTACTACTAGTTTTAATAAATTGTTAGTTTAATTTCCTATAAAATGTATCTTAAGGTTTATGCATTTTAAGAATACATTGAAAATTTCTTTTAGAGAATCAATGTGAAATAATTGCAGAAAGGATTAACCGGTTTGCTGAGCAACCGAGACGTCTGCTTTTTAAATTTTTTTTGTAAAACAAATCGGCAAGTACATATCGTCCCCCGCATGCCAGAAACATGAATGTGTAAAGATGAAAATTTTGGGATTTTTTTGTATGTCGGCCCCCCAAAATTCGATCCTGGAGACGCCCATGTTTCTGGTACTTATAAAAAAAAAATCTGATCAATATTAATGTATGAAATGAAGTAAATAAAAATCTACGAATACATTTCTTGAACATTTTGTCGTAGAGCCGTTATTAAATACAGACATAACTGCGTCGGGCGTTGGTCCTGACGTGTATAGAATTTATGTTTTAGAGAGAGATAAATATACAAGCTCAAATTTCTTATTAATTAACGATGCTTTTTACTAATAAGCATAATCATGAGTTTCGCCAGAATTTTTTTCACCCACCCGTAGTAAATACACGGAAACGAAAAGTGAAAAGATGACCCGGTTCGAGAAAATGAAACTCATGATAAGGCTGAATATGTTGGAAACTAAAGCAGATATTTAAAAGCAGATGACGCTATTTGAAAGATCTTGATTAGTTTAGTACGACAGCATTTCTAACGTAATTTGTACCAAATTACCGAAAACATTTTACTCAATTACTCGGAAACTAAAGAAGATATCCAATAAACTGTTAACGAAAAATCTAAATATCTTATTTTAAAATATATAACTGCATCTTTAACTAAAAACTTTCAAAATCACGCTTACGGAAATTTTCCATCAAAGCGACGATATTTGAAAGTTACTGGCATAATTTCGAGCATGTATGTAAATTTTCGGGAAAAAGTTAAGAAGTATATTCATATGCTGAAAAGATATTTTCGCAGATTCACAATGTATTTAAAGTATATCATCAGCCCTACGCTACATCAGAATATTGTTATTTGTGATAAAAAAAAGAGACACGTATTTTTTTATTTTGAAAAAAAAGTTTTCTTAGAGGTCGCGCTGGTCGGTTTTTTATAAAAACGCTGATGTCCTCAATTTTTTTATTTTCTTGTCATGTTAAAATGCAGCTAAAAATGTGATTTTTACATATAATTACTCTGGTATTATTGGGGAACTTTCCCTTAATTACACACCTTTCTTGGACAATTAGAATGGGTCTGGTTCCCGAAAATATGCTCTCGAAAAGACACTTGTAAATTTAAAACGTTGATACTGAACGATTTACGCATTGTCATGGGTTGGAACTTGTCACCAGGGGGTTTCTGGGGGTGCTAATTAGGGATCTGAAGTCAGTTTTTCGAAATTCAAAATGGCGGATCCAAAATGGCGGACCATTTTATTAAAAAATGATTGGATTTGTTCGAAACCCGGAACTCGAGAGTTTTTGTGGTCGCCGATTACGAATCTGAAGTAAAGTTTTTTTAATTCAAAATGGCGGATCCAATATGGCGATCAAATTAAAAAAAAAAGTACTAAAATTAAAACGTTGATACTGACCGTTTTAAACATTGTCAAGGGATAAAACACGTTTCTAGTGGGTTTCTGGGGTTGCTGATTACGAATCTGATATCAGATTTTCAAAATTCAAAATGGCGGCCAAGAGTTTCAAACAAATCCAATCATTTTATTAAAGTTGGTCGCCATTTTGGATCCACCATTTTGAATTTTGAAAATCTGACATCAGATTCGTAATCAGCAACCCCAGAAACCCACTGGAAACGTGTTTTAACCCTTGACAATGTTTAAAACGTTCAGTATCAACGTTTTAATTTTAGTACTTTTTTTTAATTTGATCGCCATATTGGATCCGCCTTTTTGAATTTAAAAAAATTGACTTCAGATTCGTAATCGGCGACCACAAAAACTCTCGAGTTATGGATTTCAAACAAATCCAATCGTTAAAAAAAAAGGTCCGCCATTTTGGATCCGCCATTTTTAATTTCGAAAAACTGACTTCAGATCCCTAATTAGCAACCCCAGAAACCCCCTGGTAACAAGTTCCAACCCATGACAATGCGTAAATCGTTCAGTATCAACGTTTTAATTTTACTAATCTCTTTTCGAGAGCATATTTTCGGGCACTAGGCCCATTCTAACTGCCCAAGACAGGTATGTAATTAAGGGAATGTTGCCCAATAATACTAGAGGAATTATATGTAAAAAACAAATTTTTAGCTGCATTTTCACAAGTCAAGAAAATAAAAAAATTGAGAACATCAGCGTTTTTATAAAAAACCGAACAACGCGACCTCTAAGAAAACTTTTTTGTCAAAATAAAAAAATACGTGTCTCTTTTTTATCACAAATAACAATAATTTAAGGTAGCGTTTATGAATTTTCAAAAAAAAAAATTTTTTGAACCACTCTAATGTACACATACAAATACATAACGTGTAAGAACACCTTTAAGGGGGCCGATTTTGTCATGAGGGAGCGAGAGAACTGTTTTCTGAGCAAACCTTTTCAGTTTCATAAGTAAAGTAAATCTTCTTCTGACCGTTTTTCCTGGCAGGCTGTAGGTGTGTTTTTGGTTAGTGTATTGGTGTTTTTGGTTCAATGTTTAGTGTATTTTGAATAATTTGTAATAGAGATGGAAGAAATTGTAATAGAAATGAAAGAAATTGTAAAAATAAGAGCAAATGCCAAAAATCGGGTGATCTCAGCTGTAGGCATTTTTTTGGCAGGCATAGTGGTTTTACTTAGGAAACTGTACGATGGTGTAGATGCATGATACAAAAAGAAGGTAGTTTCATTCCATAATTTTTGACAAAAAATAAGTTTTTGAAACCTACCTACCTACCACATTAATACAATCAAACAATACATCAGGGGATTTGATGTTGTGCGTGGGAAATGTTCGGTTATTTGTACAATGATGTTTTGGTGGTGGAGAGGAAGGCGAATGAGAGTGTCACCTAAAACTACACTCAATAAAAAGATTATAGTATAAAATTTAAGGAAAGCCATCCTTCTCCTCCTGCCCCTTCTACAGGCACATGGAGAGCCATTTCTAAATGGGGTGAAATTAGCATTTTCGCAAAGAAAAATTAATCTCGTGTTAGGCCATCAGCAGTAATTTTGCGGAAAACTCCTTTCCGCGTCGGTAGCCTTCGGCCGCGCTAGAAAAATAACTTCATCAGTCCAACTCCGGTTACGCCGTCCACAGTATTTGTACGCAAAATTCACCCCCAAATTTACAAAAAAATGCATATTTCAAACCGAAATCATTGTTTTAAATTAAAGATTAACCCTTTGGCTAGACGTATATGTTAAAATTTTTTGATTCGGGTCACGGGTTTTGGACACGATAACCCAAAAACTGCAGTAGTTTTCCACAAGTTGCAGGGCATCAGTTTAGCTCGACCTCCTCCCTCTTCCACGCATAACCGTACATCGTTTAGAGGTTTAAAAATGTTTTGCATCAGCAATTTGTCATCAAACTGCATTAGATCGTATTACGTAATCTATTCTCGGAAAAGCAAAAAACTTTATTTTCGAACCTTTGCACAGTTGTACCGAATTGTTTAATATTTTCATCCAATTTCACTGACTTGAATTTTTTTTTTACTTTTTCAAGAAACAAAAAATTTGCTGCTAGTGAATCTGGTGGCATGATTTTATTTAAATGTCATAAACTTGTTAAAAGTCAAGTAGTCGGCAACAACAACGAATGTCAATAAATGGAACTACCTTCTATTTTTATATCATCTGTAAATGAGTGGTAATATTGCATTTTGTTTTATTGAACGGAGTAGGGAGCTCACAACCATGGTTGCTCCTTAAAAAAAAATAACGAACCAAAATCTGGAAAAAACAACCAAATTAAAAAAAAGGAACGTTTTTCACGTATCTATTACAAAAAACAAAACTCATTCCAAACAAGTAATTTTAAAACAAACCCAAAACCAACTTCACTTCCCGCAAAAAAATTTTAAGATTATCGTTAATTTCTTCAAGATCCAATGATCGGACTTAAACCAATTTAGTATGAGACCACCTTTGGGGAAACAATTTACCTTAAAAAAAAGAATTATGGAAATCAGTAAACGTGGTCCAAAGTAGGCATGTTGGGAATGTGGAATTTTAGACATCCGCGAATGCGAATGCGGATGCGGATGTTTAAAGGCTAACATCCGCGTATGCGGATGCGAATGCGGATGTCATGTATTTTTAAGAAATAATTTAGGTGGGTAAATAGGGTGATTTAGGTAAATAAAAAATGGAAAGGTTAATAATTTTTAATAATAATAGCTTTTAAACAGAAATAACGAATGAAGGTTACCACCTCTATTTATATTTATTTATAACTTAATACTAAAGAAATTCGTGTAAACACATACCTGACCCAATGCTTGTTCTATGGTAATTAATTCACATTTTTTATTGAAATATTTTTCAATGTGTGGCTTTCCTCTTTTAGACATTTCAGTTTTAAAGCTATTTAAGTCCTCTTTCATTGGATACCAAACTTGTTTAATTTGGATAAGCGGTTTGTTTATTATCCGGAAAGTACTTCTATTTCGTTAAAAAATATTTGGCCAAGTTAAACTCGTAAAATAAATAACTTTCGGTCCCTTCAATATTCGCATTCGCAAAAGATCCGCATTAATTTTTGCGAACGCGAATGCGAATGTTAAAATTAATGCGGAAGCTCCGCGGTTACGAATGCGAATGCGAATATACGCAGCAACCCTGGCCCAAAGTTATGCGGTAACATACATAAACGAAAAAAATCTTCCGACGAATTGATAACCTTTACCTTTTTTGTAGTCGGTTAAAAACAAAAAATACTGAAATACTGGTGCGTTCAATCACATATTTACTTTTTATATATATTTTATATGCACATGTTACATTAAAAAAAAGGATTTTGAAAAATTTATTTATTCGTTTTTGGCATTCAGTATACAAAAATACTTTTTGAGAAGAAAAAATTTGCTAATTTCTAATTTAAAAAAAAAATTATCAGAGAAAAAACTACTAAACAACCAACTTCAAAAAAATGAAAGAAAAAGAACCAAGTTTGGTTGGAAACAACAAGCAATGGCAGCTATGCTCACTACCTTCAATCACGAATAGTAATGTAAATTTTCGATACTTTCAAGTATGGATCGGTACTCGATACTTAAGAAACAAGTATTGAATAAAAGTATTCGATACTTTTACATTATTCCGTTAAAAATTCCTTATACCAAAACCGATAAAAATGTTATGACTTTTAAGGCCAAAATACAATAGCGCAGTGGCAGTGGCAGTGACAATTTTTAAAATCAGCTGTCACTGCTAATAGGCAGTCACTGCCGCAGCAAATACAATACGGCGTTGTCAGTGACAGCTTTTTTTGACATTTCCTTTTGTTTGTTTACATTTTTGTTGTTGTCTTTTAGGCTTCAGTGACATGAACAGAAGTTGACTGAATTTTATTTATGTCAAATTCAGCATGGGAAGTTTGCTGCGATGAAGGCAGTGGCAGTGAATTTAGAATTTGGGCTAAACTGAGCAGTACTGCCAGCTGCCACTGTTGTATCGTGAGTCGCTTCATTGGACACCACTGTTTGCAGGCGGGCGGATCGCACCGATGATTCGCTCGCTCGCAAATATATATGGAGAAAATACAAAACAGATGCAAATGTGCGATTCTAGTATTTGGTATATTTGATGTGTTTCAACAATCGTACAAGTCACAAGGAAAATTTGTGTTCTTACCGTATGTGGCGTGGTAGCTGGCTATCAGGTCGCAGGTCTTCAGAGAAGTGCCGAAGGGCAGAATAATTTAATTGCTCGCACCAACCGGACAATAGCCTTTCGTTAGGTTTCCCCTCCGAACAGTTATGGTCCGGTAGGGTAGACTTGCTAACGGCGGGAAGTTCGCCGTAGCCTATATGCATGTGTGTGAGTGAATCTGTATCAGTAAAAAACGAGCATTAGGGCCTTTCCGAATATTTAGGCTGGTGGCCTAAACATGCCGCCCCCCTTGCGGCAAGCAACCCCTACGGAAGAGTTACTGGCTCAACTACCATGCCACATGAGGCAAGTGAAAACTTAAAACTAAAATTAAATTTAAAACTAAAATCCGATATATGTAGGGTCCTTGTTCGCCAGATTCGGACTAAGGTTTCACCTAGACTTCTGTCAACGAAAAGAAAAGGTTATTCTAAAAAGACGTGGTGTTCAATTCATTGCACTTTAATGTGAAATTAAATTTTTGGAAAATATTTCATTGTTTACAGTTATATATGTGTATATGTTCAGTTTTGGTGGGCCCCAGATAAAATGAGCCCGAAGATTGACGCCTGTGCCAGTAAACTGCCTGTTGTGACCGGAGCGTTATCGGTCAACATTATGCGCGCGTATATGTCGGCGCCTAGGGTCAGCCGAATCGGTGTCGCCAGGTAAAAATTGGGGTCCGCTAATCGCATAAAACGAAATGGTGCGGCGACTGTTGGGTCGATGTTTCTGGCAGGACAGAGGCGATTGTATCGCGCGGTGATGACCGCTTGGGTGGTTACCCGTTCCGCGATCCCATATTTCCCACGCAACGCGAGAGCGCATGTCCGGCTCCGGTCATTGTTGCGGCGTTCGAGTTGGAGCTCGCGTGCCAGTTGCGCGTCGATGATGGAATTCGGCGTGCAAGGATCGCATAACGCGCGAACCAAGTGAAGTCGTCCACCAGATTCAATTCGGACGATAGCAGTCGGGGCTATAGCTTCGAATGCCCGCAATATGGGCGCTGCTATCGCATTATGAGTAGCTCGACCAGTCCGGAAACCTTCGGGTATAGCAAGAGCCATTTTTTCAGCTGGTTGTTGTTGTTGCTGTCGTCGATGATACGGTGCATACCGATGTGCTTGGTGCCGAGGCGGGCGGAAAGAACGGGTTTACGCGCCGCCCCGTTTGCCACTATTACGTTGAACAGGTGGTCGAAAAGAACGTGTTTCCGAGCCACCCGCGCATTTTGTTTGCAACGGGGCAGGCAGTCTGAAAGAACTCGTTCCAGAGCCGCGCTGCCCGTGCGATCGGCAAAGACTGGTTTCCGAGTCCCCCTGGGCCTCTCATGTTGCAGCACTTCCTTTTCTTCTACTTGGCTCGCCCACGATTTCGTTTGCTCCGTGACGTGAATGGACAGCGCCCCGTCCGAGCCTTCGCCGTCCCCGATCGCATTATTGTGTATTCGCTCGCCGGCGTCCTCTATATGGAGCGAAGTATGATGCTTTTCGTCGCATCTATGGCATCGGTCCTTGCTAATGCAAATTTCCAGGCGATGAAAGGGCGACAAGCAATTGGAACCATATCGGTAGATTAGGACCGCCCGCAGCTTTTCTTCAACAGTTTTGCCACGATAGTGGGGACAGAGTCGAATTCCATGGTTTTCGTCGCATAATCGGCATGGAATCGAAAACTTTTCGGCACGGTCTTCCGTCTTTGTGCGATTCACGGTGAAACGAGTCATGCTGCAATTTGGCTATTATTTTATTTGACCTTGAATTTTTTCTCATAGTTGGGTGGGAAGTGGCTGATGCTATGCTTCCGTATCGTGGACCAATACGTTAGAAGAAGTTATACGCAAAAAGTTGTAGGTGTATATACATACATGATATTATGTGATTGATCCTTTTAACGTGTGAACCTTGTATTATTTAAGTTGCTGCGTAATCAGGTGGTGGATTGACAGTTTACTTTAGTACATTAATAATTTGGTGGAAGGTGCCCAACGATTCGAAATTTTATTGAAGTATTTTTGTTGCAGTTTTCTTTGGCAACGAACAGATCTTTGAAAGTAGTGCGAATTGTCGGATCCTTGTTTCCTCGAACATACCTTGAAATCTCCAATATCGGCTGCGTTTCTTTATACATTCCGGATAATCCCATTTCACAGCCGGAATAAAGAGAATGCTTTTGAAACATCGTTAACATATCATCAGGAACGTTCTAAAGAATAAGTAAACAAAAAAGTTTATTCCAAACGTTCAGAATGAATAAAGAAATTCAGCCATCGTAAAATGTGCCATTTGTGGTTTTGTGGTGAGTTTCACTACTTGAACTGGCACCGCGAAAGAGATTTTTAAAATATGGGTTCTAGACTGGGCTTAATCCGGAAGATAGCACATAATTCAAAAAAAAATATTTATTTTTTGCCGTTTCTTACAAGGTTGTATAGCTGTCAACCAGGTGGCGCCGCCTTCAGTACATTTATGAAGGGTCGCATTGGCAGAATCACGTATGCCAATCTTTGAGCAAATATCGTATGTCAAAATTTGGCAGTGCTATGACTTCCTGAATGGCTGAAAAGTCATTCTGGATTTTCCATGCGGTAAGTATAGTATAGTAGTAGTAATTTCAAGTACTGCGTTAATAATTTTCTAATTTTATTAAATTCCAGATTAGCGGCTACAATGGACTATCGCATTCCTCATCCGATGATGAAATGGACGATGTGCGGGATGTACTGGCCTATTGGAGTGGTGACAATAGAAACAGTAAAACGTCGAGGCTGGATGTTAGCGGAAATGCCACAGCGCAATGCTGCGTGTATTTTACCAGCACGCATACAAACTCCTCAGTAATATCTAATATTAATAAGTCTTGCACTGTATTAAGTCTGGCGCAATATTTTTTTTATTTTATTATCTTAAGAAATGGTAAAAACTGTAGGTGCTCATTTCTGCTGTACTGCAGAATAGTTAATATGTTGCGGCGATGAGCAATGCTAGATCTCTTATGTTCCAAAACAATTAGTACCCTAGTATGTCTGTCGGTTGACGTAATTTAGATTTGCAAAAATTTCACTCACCGACGAAGTAAATAAAAATTAGTGCAATTATTAAAATGAAAATAAATCAGCTGTTAAAACAATCTACCGAAATTCAGTTTGTGCTTCCCGTATTTCATATTTAATGCAGGGAGATGTGCTAAAAAGTGTTTGAATATCATTGGAATACTGGGTTGCGGGAGTGATTAAGTAGTGCAGCAAACAAAAATGCGCACTGGATTAAGAAGCGCCTCATCCAGACATGTCGTGGCGGTTATAGTCCTATGCATTATCTGGTGTCTGATATCCTCTAGCAACAATTTTATTGGCAAGATGGTACTTTCGTTGGTCTCACCCCTGACTTATGCGGTTGCCAGCGCATCAAAAAGAATTTTCGTGATAGCTGTATCACTGTTAATTTTAGGGAATCCTGTGACGTGGTTAGACTGCGTCGGCAAGTGTTATGCTATAACCGGGCCAAACAGGTGTCTAGAGCGTCAGACACGGTATTACCTCTAACACAAAATCATCGTATTAAATACGAGCCACTTAACGGAAATCTGGATCCCTACTATCAAGGGGCAGTTACGAGCAGCGTAAATGGTTTCACTAGTAAACGTGGTGAAAAACAGTATCCTAATGTAAATACAGTTGCTGCAAACAGCCTGCTGACTAATGGAAATATGTTTCCAAATGGTAGTACGACAACGACCCGTTTACTTTTTGTTTGATTTCGTAATTAAATTGTTCCTAGTTTTAAGTAAAGGCAGACTTAAGGAAAGCTCAGTTAGATAAATATTTTGTTGAGGCATAATTAGAAAAACAAATTATGCATGTGTGTAAATATGGTATTTTTATACAAACAATTTCAGACATTACACAAGAGTCTCGAAGAGGATATAAAATCAATAATACAAGAACCCATTTGATATGGGCGAATACTCTTATACTGATTTGTTTTATAAGATTATTAGAAAATTATCAAAATATGTTATAATAGTAACCAATAATTTTGCATACATATATGTGCATACATATGTATACGTATGTAATTTAAATTATATCTCCTTCCCAGCGAGAATTGTAGCAAATGATCACGCTTATGTACGTACCTACATACATACATAAGAGTTATCTATAAAACAGGACCAATTTTAAGGAATTTGAACTGAGATGGTTTATCGCCGTGTGAAAATGTTAAAAAAGCAATAAATCAATATGACCAACTATAAAGTAAAAACGTAAACGGTCAAGTATGAGAACCCGATTCAATTATGCCCACTGACCATGTTTGCTAAACGGCAGCAACCAAACCGGAATATGGAAGTCGTGAGTTTATAGTTTATATGCTTAACGCTTACGCACGAAAATAGTCATACCTATATGTCATCGCAATTCTAATCTGTGCGCAGATTTCGGATAGTTGAAATACAATTGCCAAAAATTGGCGCATACCCAATGTTCATAGAAATTGTAAATTTTACTAGGAAAAATTTTATTTTCCAACGATTTTTCAGTAGAAAAGTCAGCTGATCGCATATGGCAGAGTGCGAATTCAAGCTATTAAAGGAATTGTTCCCGAGTTTTTAGAGTCGAAATTAGCCAAAGAAGCATACTTGGATAGATAATAGGATGTGAAAACGGTTCTAATTAGGATATTGCTGCAAATATGTTTATCTTAAGTGTGAAGTGTAGCTCGCGACAGATACCTCTCCTTGTCGTTTGAAAATATCTTGTGTGGACTTCGTGCATTATGACTTATGTATGTCTCTTTCAGGTAGTTGTTACAGTCTAAACTCCAATGGGCGATTTTACTCAAGAGTGGCTGGCTGGCCTACAATACCAAATACTTATTTTAGTTCAGCGTCGACCACCATTGCCGGAGTCATCGCTGTCAGAATATCGAATGGCATAAGCAAATGTAATCCCGGGAAACGAGAGGAGTGCTTAAGTGTTGGCGAAACTTTGGTGAGTGTTAATTATCTTTTGCCTGGATCTGAGCTTGTGCATGCATACGTATGTCCATATATTTGGTGGTTAGGCATGGTCGAATCTATATTTCTATAAAAAAAGGGTTTAATGATTCTTTTGGTATCACAGCTATGGGCACTCGAATGCGCACTGGCCACGTTACACTATTTAAAGTTTTTATTTATTTATTTATTTTTTTTACGAAAGCTATTGGTACCCGGAACTGGTCCATAAATTAGTTCTTATGTATTTGAGATTTATGAAATGGTGTTTCTGCAGCAGGGCGCCCAATTACACATACGTACATCCATAAGTACATATTTTCCTATTTTCTATGACATGCAGGAGCGTACACGGGTTGGTTTTCCTGTAAAATACTAAGCTTAGTGGTCGTTATCTGGAAGCCAAATAGCAGCGCGCTCTGCCCATGCACACATTCGCATTGGCAAAAACATTCGTATCATTTGATGCGAATATCGAATGCGAATGTGTAAAATGATGCGAATCATTCGCATAACGAATGCGAATGCAAATATCAGCAACATCCCTGATCCGTAAGTTCGATTTGCGGAAATTGCAACGGCTTTCAAAGGTTACTTTCCTTGCAAGGTGTAAAGTTACGGCTAAAACGTGGCAAAGTAAACGCTTTCCTATGCATTTTGCAGTCAAAATGCGAGATCGAAAGTCTACTTTTCCGTGTGAAACAGCCAGAAAGTCGCTTTGCAGATTTGCTGAAAACACTTTTGGAAATTAAAATTGCAAGGTGTAGCTGCAACTGAAACTACGTAAATCGTTTTCGAGAAATAATTTCAACTTGCTCGTGCTGCACAAGTAATTTTCATTTTGCTTTTTGGCGAATCTGAATAAAATTATAAAAAATGTTGAGTAAAATATGAAAAATATGTGCGGGTAATTTATTCTACTGATATGGAGTATTTAGGTATTAATGTATTAGACATTGTGTGACGGCTTTGTGCACATTTTAGCAGGTTAAGTAAATTTTTCAGGGCATTAATTTTGTTATGAGCATAAAGGTGTCTGGTGATGATTCTGTAATATTACTTACGTATTCATGGTTTGACATGCGGTATCGAAGTTATTCGTAGTAATAATTTTGTAGCTGGAATATTGGGCATTTAAGATGTGGGATTGCGTAGGGAGTAAGAAGTGGAATAGCTGGGTTTTGTGAAGTGGAATGAAAAGTAAGGAAGTTTATTGAGAGATTGTGGTGTTTTCGTTGCAGGGCGGAAGTAGGACCAATTTTGCAATTGGCCTGGTGATTTCTCCCTTAGCTGTATCGATGTCGACTACTCTTACCCGGTTGTCGGAACCTGGATGTAGCTTGACGATTCTCCCCAACCTCCATTCGTTAGGTGGCAGGTTTTCCTCTTTAACGACGGCCAGGTCCCCTTGCTTTAAGTTGGCTTGTGGATGTTTCCACTTAATGCGTTTCTGCATTTCGGTCAGGTATTCCATTTTCCATCTTCTGCAAAATGTCTGATGTAGGGCCTTCAGTTTCTGCCATCGATTTACGATCGAAGCAGGATTTTCGTTTACGTCGACTTCAGCTGGGGCAAGAAGATGCCCACCCACTAGGAAATGACCTGGAGTAAGCGGCTCCAGATCGGACGGTTCATTTGAAGAGGGGCTTAGTGGTCGTGAGTTGACACAAGACTTAATACGGCACGAACGAGTACTGAACTCTTCAAAAGTATATTTATGGTCGGACGCGACCTTTTTAAAGTGAGTTTTAAAACTTTTCACCCCTGCTTCCCACAAACCGCCCATGTGGGGAGCCGCAGCGGGTATGAAATGCCATTCTACAGTTTGATGGTTGTATTTAATGAGAGTGCTATTGCGTGCCTCAGCTAAAAGAGCTTTAAATTCCGATCGTAAAGATTAGTGCCATTGTCGGAGTAAATTTTTTTTGGACATCCTCGTCTAGCAACAAATCTTGCGAAAGCGGCTAGAAAGGACGCGGTGCTAAGGTCGCTGGTAGCTTCAAGGTGGATAGCTTTCGTCGAGAAGCAGACGAAAAGACAAACATAGCCCTTTGACATGCGACATCCCCTGCCCCGGTAGGACTTTATGTCAAATGGACCGGCGAAATCCACACCCGTGTTTGTGAATGCACGGGAAAAGGTTGTGCGTTCTTTGGGAAGAATTCCCATCAGTTGGGTCTGCGAGCGTTTCTTGTGAATCGTGCATACCTTGCAGTTGTGGATAATGGACCTGATCATATTTTTCACTCTCGGAATCCAATATTGCGTACGTAAGAGGCGCAACATCAACTGGTTTTCCCCGTGTAACGAGATCTGATGGACGAACTGCACGATAAGACGAGTTAACCTGCACTCATATGGAAGTATAATTGGATGACGCTCGTTGAAGGCCAAATCACGGGATGCGCCTATACGATCACCAGTTCGCATAATATCATTCTTGTCGATGAATGGGTTGAGGACAAAACTTCACTTTTCGCGTCGAGGGACCTACCCCATTTCAAGTTCCCATATTCTTCTCTATAATGTTGTTTCTGATAAACTGTTATTAAGCGTTGGGTCGTTGTTTTAATTTCACTGGACGAAATTGAACACGACTCTGCTTTAAAAGACGACTTTGTTTTGGGATTGGTTCTTTGATAAAATCTCAATACATATGAGATAACTCTCAAAGCTCTTGGGAAATCCGAGAATCTATCGATAATGTTCACATTTTTTGTACTGGTTGATGCGGGAACATGCACCCTTTTTTCCTCTAAGCTTGTGTTGAAGTCCCTTTCTTGTGCTGGCCATTTCGAATTATCTTCTTGTAACCAAGAAGGACCCTGCCACCACAAGGAGTTGTTGACTAGTTCACTCGCCGAAAGTCCTCTACTGGCCAGATCCGCTGGGTTTGATGCTGAATCCACGTGACGCCAATTTTCGTTTCCTACCTTCTCTATCAGCTTCGTTATGCTGTGGGCAACAAATGTTGACCATGAACACGGAGGTTTTCGAATCCAAGCTAAAACTATCGTTGAATCCGTCCAAAGATTCACTTTCACCTGAACAAGATTAAGATTTTCAACGACTGTTTCAACTGTCTCTGCTAGTAGCACTGCACCGCAGAGCTCCAATCTGGGCAAAGAAATTGTCTTTACGGGGGCCACTCTTGTTTTTGCCATGAGTAAATTGATAAAGATTTTCTCCTTTGCCTTTATCCTTAGAAAAACCGTTGCTGCAAACGCTTTTTCCGATGCGTCGCTGAAACCGTGAATCTCCACGTCGTCTGTCGGAGAAAAGTGAACCCACCTGGGTATGCGAATATTATTAATTGCTGTATAATCCCTCATAAAATTTTGCCAGCGCTCCAAAATGGGTGGGGAAACGATCTCGTTCCAATCTGTTCCTACAAGCCAAATGCTCTGCATAATAATTTTGGCGACGATTATAGCTGGCGCGAGCCAACCAAGCGGATCAAACAGTTTGGCAATAGCTGACAGTATTGCCCTTTTTGTTATAGCGTCGCGATTCTATATAGGTTTCGCAGTAAAGTAGAAATAGTCTGAGTGAGCATTCCGCCTGATACCTAGAGCTTTTACCGTGCTGGTATCTTCAAACTCTAGAAAGTTTTCTTTTAGAAGATCTTGCTTTGCTATTCCTTGTAGGATTTTATTGCAATTTGCAGTCCATTTTCGTAATGGAAAGCCCGCCGAGTTTAGCGCTTGGGAGATTTCGTCTCCAGCTCTTATCGCAGAGTCGATGCTATGTCCACCGGCGAGTACGTCGTCGACGTACATACATTTCCTCAAAATGTTAGATGCTAGTGGATAAGAGCTCGTCACATCGTCCGAGAGTTGATGTAATGTCCTTATGGCGAGATAAGGAGCACAGTTAATGCCAAAGGTTACCGTTTTCAGTTCGTATAAACTGAGAGGCTCCTTTGGGCTGTTGCGGAAAGCGATTCGTTGGAATTTTGTTTGGCTATCTTTTACCCAAATTTTCCGATACATTTTTTCAATGTCACTGTTGAAGACGTATTTGTACAATCTCCAGCGGAGGATAAGTATGGTTAGATCGGCCTGTAGTACTGGACCTGGGAGTAGAACATGGTTTAAACTCACGCCGTTAGCGGTAGGGCAAGAGGCGTTGAACACCACTCGGACCTTAGTTGTGGTACTTTCTTCCTTCAAGACAGCGTGATGCGGTAAAAAATAACAATCTGTTGAGTTTGCTGACACGTTGTTTAATTTCGACATATGTCCTAAAGTTTCGTATTCCGTTAAGACGCGGTTATATTCTGTTTCAAGAACAGGTTTTTTCGCTAGTCGTGCCTCGTTCCGGTAGGACTGCGAACATGCACTCTTCAGCGAAGGCCCTAGGCACAAAGCTTTTGGAAACTCCTTTTTGAAGGGTAGAGAGACAACGTATTTTCCGTCAACGTTTCTCGTAGTTGTTACCTTGAAGAGCTCTTCGCAATACGTATCCTCGTCATTGAGAATTCTTTTCCTGGGGATGTCTTCTAATTCCCAAAAGGTGGTCAACTGCTTGTCCAGGTTAACTTCTTTGTAAAAGGACACGATATTTTTGGCTGGACTCGATGCTTCCGCACAGCCCGTTAAAATCCATCCGAACACGGTTTCTTGGGCGAGAAGCGTATTTAATACGTTCTTTTTTATGCCGCTTAAAATTATCTGGGGATATATGTCTCCTCCGAAAACGAGATCAACTGGTTCATTAATGAAGAACCTTTTATCCGCCAGGACTAAGTCAGGGAATGCTTGCCGAGTCATTGCGCTTACTTGGCAAGTCGGCAGATCCCCTGTTAGTTTTGGTAAAACCAGTACAACAGCATCTATGCTTATTAATGGGTCTGTGGGCGACCGCAATTGAATGGCGCATGCTTTTTTTACCTGCGCAGATATTGGGTTATTGATGCCCGAGACTTGGGCATGCAAGCGTTTTGATGGCAGGTTGATTCTGCGCTTAAGTCTTTCAGTTATGAAAGAGCACTCTGAGCCCGAATCTATCAGTGCTCTTGCAGACAAATTAACACCATTGTAATGTATGTCTACGTGCGCCGTTCCTAATAGCACTCCTTTGTTTATGTTTGCGAAGCAGGAGTTCACATTCCTAACTTCTCTGTTATTTTCTCTTTCAGACTCCCGTCTAAACTGAGCCTGCCTTGAAGATGAGGCTCCGTCACCTTTGGAGTTCGGAGTTCCCCTAGGAGCTGTTGCTTTTGGCTGAATTGCTTGTGGTCGGTGGAGCAACGTGTGATGCCTTGAATGGCACGTGCTACAATTAAAGGGACTGGTCCATCTTGTCACCGTATGTCCGGCTGACAAGCAATTCAAGCAACGTTTATTGCTCTTGACATACTCTATTCTGTCGGTGGGGGTTAACATGCAGAATCCTTCGCAGTGTCGTAGCTTGTGCTCGCTACTCTGGCACATTGGGCATGGTTGCTTGGCCACACTTGCTTGAAAGGCGCCAAGTCTCTTTGAAGGCGCTTCCGGCACTTGCCGTGTGTTTTGGGGCTTAGGCGCCTTAACTGTTTTATTGTCCTTGAGCCCAGACACGGTTTCTAATGTCTGAAACCGATTGGATAGGAATTTATCCATATCTTCCCATCTTGAAATTTCTGTTTTGTTCTCTATGGATTGTTCCCACAGAGCTAGTGTGCATTCTGGCAGTTTTGTTGAACATAAATACGTTATAATTGCATCCCAGTTGGAAATGTCAATCTGATGACATTGAAGCGACGAGATGCAATTATTTATTTCGCGTTGCAGTTTCTTAATGGAGCTACCGCATCGCTCTCAACTGCGCTTAAGTTGAATAAGATTTTTAACTGCGTATTGACCAGAATACGTTTGTTTTGGTATCGGTCGCTTAAATTTTTCCAGGCTGTAGCAAAACCTTCGTTGGTCAAAGGGCACCTTCCCACAATTTCCTTAGCTTCCCCTTGAGTTTTTAGGTTGAGATGGAAGAGCTTTTCAACAGGGGTAAGACGCTTATTGAGAATATATATGGCCGTAAACATATCTCTGAATGTCGGCCATGAAAGGTAATCCCCTTTGAATATATCTGTGTCGCAAGGAGGCAGATGAATATTATGCTCCCGAACAGATACATCTTCCCTTTCTTTCTCAGTTTTTGCTAACTTTTCTACGTCAGACGCCATAGCAGCCATGCACTTCATATAGCAACCAAAACTACTTTTATGTTTGCCTTTTACAGATACTCTGTCCTCTTTTGACAGTTCTGTGCTTACGAGAGCTTCATGGGCTGATTTTGTTTTCTTCCATAAGGCCCTCAGCTCCTCTTGCTGTATTGCAAGGGTGTGCTTATTTTGTTCCTCGAATGGCGTACTGTTGTAGTCACACTCAAATTCGGTTACGGCATCTGCCAATCGAATGAAAGATTCCATTGTCTTTGAAAATGCGTTGAAAATCGACAAAAAAATATTTTTTAGTTCTGTAAAGTACAGATAGAAATCTGATCGCAGATTTAATGTATTTCTACAAACGTAGTTTTTCGAATGACGTGAAAGAATAAATAACCGACACCTGAATAGCCGAACCAGAATTAATTTAAAAAACAACCAGCAAACTTATGTTCGTTTAACGTATATGTATGTATATAGTAACCTTTATTGTTTTAGCAATTTCAGTGGTATTAAAGATATATGCAGTATATTTTGATGATCACTAGCCACCCAACTTTTCGACGGGATCAAATATTATGTTGAGATAGTATTTGGTAAAGTGTACTTGTTGCCAATGGGATATGATATTTGTGAGTGTGAAAAGAAATTAAAGAAAATCAGTGACAAATCAAAATACCAAAGTTGGAAATTTTCCAACATAACTAATGCGTATAAAGACAAAAAAGGTGTGAAAAACCGAAAAAAACTGCGCTTTGCAATGAAGAATCCAAAGAATTTATACGACGTGTGCTTTAAAGTGAGTTTTCTTCAACAAAAAAACAAGTGGGGCAATGTTTTCCAAATTGAAGGTAAGAATCACGGGAAAATAACGTAAATTAGATGTGAAAGCCAAAAAAATATTGATTTGCAGCTATAAATCGAATTAATACAACGTGTGCTTAAAAAATTATTTTTCTACAACAACAATGTGTGAACTTCAAAATGGAGGTTTCGCGCACTTTCTGTGGTGGTTGCGTGTGTGTGTGTACAAACCGAATTGTTAACTTTAACAAAGTTATCTTGCACCGATTGTCTTTTCTTTTTTCTCTCACAAATTCACTCGCGAATTTTTTGTGGCAAAAAACACTTTTATGAAACACAAGAAATACCTATATTTGAAAGTGCAATGAATCTCAAACCACGTACCTTGTTATGTTGTAAATGCTGATAGGTGGAATTGGATGGATAAAAAAACATTGTCCAGTCGTGTAGCAAATTTAGGCGGTGCAGTAAAAACCAAAAACGCTGGTTGTATATATGTACGTTGAAAACCAATAAATCCTGATGTGAAAATTATTCTTGCGACACTTTGATTGTGGTGCAAAACTCAGGTCGGTTGTTGCTGTGGACTGTATATTTTATGCGCTGTGTAAAAGTTGATTTATCTCTCGGATCGTATGGACCAATATTTGCAGGCGGGCGGATCGCACCGATGATTCGCTCGCTCGCAAATATATATGAAGAAAATACAAAACAGATGCAAATGTGCGGTTTTAGTATTTGGCATATTTGATGTGTTTCAACAATCGTACAAGTCACAAGGAAAATTTGTGTTCTTACCGTATGTGGCGTGGTAGCTGGCTATCAGGTCACAGGTCTTCAGAGAAGTGCCGAAGTGCAGAATAATTTAATTGCTCGCACCCACCGGACAATAGCCTTTCGTTAGGTTTCCCCTCCGAACAGTTATGTTCCGGTAGGGTAGACTTGCTAACGGCGGGAAGTTCGCCGTAGCCTATGTGCATGTGTGTGAGTGAATCTGTATCAGTGAAAAACGAGCATTAGGGCCTTTCCGAATATTTAGGTGGTAAAAAACAGCTAATTTCGAAAAACTTCCACTGCCTCTGCGTTATTGTATTTTGGGCTTTAATCTTATCCCTGCAAGGAGCCTGACCTATGATTATCGGTTAAATTAGTGGGAAAACTGACTAAAACTTTTCGTCAGTTTAGCGGTTAGTTTTGTATGGGCTTGGGGAAAAAAGTGACCACTTCTCCGGGCAGCGAAATATTCAAAAATACATGAAACCAAATTAAAAAATACAATTCGATTTAGTTTATGTGTTTGTTTTATTTGTAAAAATATATTGTCGAATATTAACTTAATTTCACAAGCATTTTCAGAGCTACTGAGCTCAGAAAATTCTTCTCATATTTAATCGGGGTCTGAATTTTCGTCGCTAAAAGCAAATGCCTCAGCGCCGTTTGGTCTAAGTCGGCCTAAGTACACTGGCCCCAAATTTTTTCTTCTCTATTCACATGGCGTAAAAAATGTTTTTTGCTCATTTTTTATATACAAATTGAATACACTGATTTTTATTAATTCTTTTTTTAAATTCACCGACTTCTTTTCTATTTTGCACCACAGCTAACAATGAAGTAAAATTTTCTTTGATGTATGTGTGTGTGTCCATATGTATGCGGGCGTACAATCGATAGATTCTTTTCGATGTGGTCAGCCGTTTTTTGCAGGGTATCTTCTTGGTCATTATTACTCTTTTTAGTAAAAATATTTTTAATCCATATGTATGCGGGCGTAAAATCGATAGATTCTTTTCGATGTGGTCAGCCGTTTTTTGCAGGGGATCTTCTTACTCATTATTA